CTTGGAGAACAGTAATACAAATACTACAAGAAATTTTGCTGAAGATAGATATGGTTTTACAGAAGTCAGTAGACATTTACGTAAGGATCTGTATATACGTGTGTGTGTGTGTGTGTCTGGAAATGGGGCAATACTGACCCACCCATGTATGTGATTTATTCTTGGAACAGTCTTGCCAGCTAATTTCAGCAAAAGTTAGTGCTGCAAAACATTGTTCTAGTCTTGTATAGGATTAAAAGAGTAACAAAACACAGTATTTGTTCTTATAAAAATTATGGTATAAACATAATTCCATAAGACAAGTAGGGTAGGTGTAATAAGGTAGTACAAAGAAAGTGTGTTGAGCACTTAAAAGAGGTGGGAGGAATTTGTTTGAGATATTAGCACAGGCTTCCTTAAAATGATGGTCTTTGGATAGATGGCCTTTGTGGGTGAATAGAGGTTTGGGGAGTAAAGACGGTGAAAAAACTGACATGCCAGGCAGAGAAAACTACATGAGAAAAGCCAAAGGGTAGGAATTAGAAGAGTGGAGAACACTTGGGGGAAAAGCTTGGCTCAATAAATATTTGTTGAGTGAATGAAAATTTAATATCCTATTCCCAAAGTTAGTGCTAATAAAGTAAAATTTAAGTGGGTCTGTAATTAATAATCATGTTGGAGGAGTGTGTTGAAATGTAATGGTAAAAAAACCTCACTTCACAGGCTGCACATGTGGCTCCTTGCCTGACTCCAAAGGGCCTCCCTGACCCATGCCTCCTTCCTGTCCTGATAGCTGCTTTTTTATCCTTCAAGGTTGAATTTCCTTTCTGTCTTCCCAGGAAGCCTTCCTTGACTTTCCTCTCCAGAGTCAGCTGCTCCATCACTGTGCCTGCTGTTATTATAGTACTTACACTGAAACCATTCAATTATGTGTAGATCTCCACCACTGAACTGTGAGAAGCTCAAGGGCAGAAATTTTGTTTCACTTGTCTGTGCATAACCAGTTCTTGGATCTTGTAGGTGCTCAACACCGTCTAGTTGCAGGACAGAGACATGCTTAGCTAAGTACTGAGTTGATAGTTTTCTCTTCTGCCTTTATGTTATTCCTTCCTTCAGTCTCAGTGTGTAGTTCTTAGTCTCCAGCTGGAAACTGAGCTGTCTATACACATTTCACAGCTCTGTGCTTTTCCATGTCCCCTCAGCCCCCCATGGCCTTAGCCAGTGTCTCCATGGACCTAAATTCTAAACATCTCTTTAGCTGGAGCTCAAAGGCCTCCTTTATCAGAGTGCTTCTCTGATGTCCAGCCAAAGTGTTTTGCCTTCTCTGAATTTATGTGATAATTTTCTATACCACTTTCATGATGTTTTCTATTTTCTAGACCCAAAGTCAGAACCTGAATTTTGTATACTTCGAATCCCCAAAAGGCTACAAGATGCCCTCAGAATAGACACATATTCAAGTTGCATTCAGTGTTTTTTTTTTTAATTGAGCACAATTTGTCAGGCCCTACGTTGGTGGCTAGCTATTCAATAAATATTTACTAAACAAATGGTTCACTCATCACTTGCTTTGGGGGTAAACTGCAGAGCAACACAGGCTAAATGAAAATGTAATTTGGAGGCAGAAAAAGAGAAGGAGCAAATCAGAAATATATCCTGTAGCAAATTACAGAATTTAACAAAACCATTTGAAATCTTGCTTTGCTTATGAAAATCTCCACAAAAATCTAGCAACCCTGAGAGCAGTTTTAAAAAAATGATAACCTGGAAGAAATAAACGTTTTCTCAACATGGAAGGAGTTTTAGAGAGTTTTGTAGTTTCTTTTGTAGTTATGAACGTGTCTTTTCAGTAATTACATGGTGACTAATTTTAGTCAAGCTAACCACTTAACTTTAAATGTATTTGATTCTATAGATCAAGTATAGACTTGGAAGCTTTGAATAGAAAGCTAAGTATGGGTTATAACAATAAGGAAATAAAATTAATCTACTTGTAGTTCTTTTATCTAAACAAATAATCAGCTTTTATGATTTCAGGGCCATTCATTCCTCTTTCTTTCCTTATAAAAGCATTCATTCTGGTCGCAATTTTCTTTGTCTCTTTTGATTACCTTGGGGACTCAGGCTAACACACCAGGTCTTACTCTCACTAACTTCATGATTCTTTTTCCCTACAAAGCTGAATGTAGTTGAGGACCTTAGCGTAGCACATCCAAATGCGTTCTGCTTCCATAGCAAAGGACTTTCATGTTCAATTTCACCAGGATTTAAAAAGTGAAATATAAATATTTCATTTTAGAATTATTAAATGTTAACTGAACATTTCGAGAAACAACATCATCTTGTTTGCCCCAGAGGGTCTCAGCCACCCTGCAGACTACCCACCTCCAGGTTAGGGCACCTGAGTCAAAGCTATTCCCAGGATGAATAAGCAAGGCTCTGGAGAAAATGATCAGTTGGGGGCCAATTCACTTTAGAACAGCAATGATGATGCTCTTATTCATAGGTGTTGAAGGAATGGTTATACTTGGCTGGCAGAGTCTTTGTTTACTGATTTATTTCTCCCTCTTTTCTAGGAGATGCAGCAAAAGCTCATACTGTCTGTATAATGCTTCCACAAGCACAGTGAGTAGATACATTACTATTTTCTCATTAACTTGTCTAATATTTTGTGTCCCTTTAGCCAATGCCTACTTCTTCTGCATTCCTCACTGAGACCTTTTTCTTGTCTCTAATGTCCCTCTCAAAAATGGAAGCAGCTTTCTATGTCAAGTATCTACTATTTTCCTTTTTTTTTTTTTTTTTTTTGATTGCTCATGGTTGCTCTACTTTCTAAGCTCATTTTTAAATGGTAGAGAACATGGGGGATTTTCTCGGAACTCTTCAAGATTGACAAAACCAGCACTTTGTAAATAGTTTTATCTTGTGTATACTTGGAAAACTTCTGCACTTGCATCGGAGCCCACCACATACCCTGGGAAAAATTTCGGAAAGAGCTTGCCTTGTGCTGTAGATGTGCTCTGAACGGGGAAGGATCAGTGAATGTTTGTTGAATGAACGAGTGAGTGAATAAGGAACACAAGTGAGAGCTAGCCCTACTGAACACACAGGAAGGCCATTCATGTTTTAGAACAGAATCTAAGATTGTAAATACTATTACCATCTGGCAGACTGTGTCCTGATTATGTTAACATAGTCTTAGCCACAGCGGTTTGAAGATAGAGCTTGTTCTGAATATGTGGTCAACTGGGAATATGATTCTTAGTGAAAGGATATCGTGTGATTTTAGATCTCCTCTACAGTCTTCTTTTATTTATTTTTAACGTTCTAATTTTTTTGATTTTGAGAGAGAAGGAAAAAAGAGAGTGAGATAAAGTGTGTGAGAGAGCAGGGGAAGGGCAGAGGGAGAGATAGAGAGAATCTCAAGCAGTGGGGCTTGATTCCATGATTTGGGATCGTGACTTGAGCTAGAATCAAGTCTGAAGTTCAACCAACTGAGCCACCAGGTGCCCCCTACAGTCTTCTGTCAAAATAACTCGATTTTATGTGTTTGATTATTGTAAACTTAATTTTTTATAAGTAGGTTACAAATATACTGTAAATAATAACATAAAAATGCAGGAAGACTAAAGAAACACTACCTTTTACATAGTGAAATACAGTCAAGCTGATTAACATGCCATCGGCTGACTTTGTTACTATTTTTTTGTGTGTTATGAGAACATCTGGAATCTACTGTCTTAGCAAATTTTCAATATTTAGTAAGTATTATTAACTATAGTCATCACACTGTAATATTTAATCTGTACACTTAACTCATCCTGTGTAACTGCAACTTTGACCAACATCTCCCCATTTCCTCTACCTCTCCTTTCTCTGGTAACCATGGTTCTACTCTCTGCTTCTCTGTATTCAACTTTTTTAGATTCCACATAGAAGTGAGATTTCTGTGTCTGGCTCATTTCACTTTGCAGTCATCATTTCACTGTGTATGTGTGTATGCTCATCATGTTGTACAACTTAAACATACGCAATTCTTATTTTAAAAAGCTCTATATTTTATGAGTCCCTTTATATGAAAAATTAGAAAAGGTGAAGGTTTAATGACAGAAAGCACATCACTGGTCACCAAGGCCAGGAAGCGGAGGAAGGGATTGATGACAAACGAATATGAGTGAACTTTTCGGGGTGATGGAAATGTTTGATATTACGATGGTGGTGGTCTTGACACCATGCACATTTAAGGCTGTACACATAAAATTAGTGAATTTTATTATATGTTAATTTTACCCCATCACAACTAATTAATAAAGTGAAAAACAAAGGAAATAAACAAATATATCTTTGTTGTTTGGAAAAAAATAAGCAAAAATAAACACTGACTGTGGAGGTTGGCACTGGAGGAGAATCTCATGGTGGAGCTGCCCTCTGAGGCTTTCACCATCACCTTGGGATTATTTGCTGTCTCCATTATAGCCTCCAGGGACCCTGCTTATCCTTCAACTTTCTGGTCCCAATTTAGAGAAATGACCTTGCTCTTGCTTTACTAATAGCTTAACTGAGACATGGTAGAATATTTTTTTAATATTGATTATGAAAAAAATCAGGAATGAAAAGGAAAACAATCACAGAACAACACTTTGAATCTTCTCGATAGTAACATACTTGCATCTTGTTCTCTGCATCAGAGGATGGAAAATTTTTTCTGTAAAGGACCAGGTCGTAGTAAATATGTTTGGCTGTGGACCATGCTATCTCTCTTGGGACTGCTTAGCTTTGCAGTGGTAGTGTGAAACCAGCCGTAGACAATGTATCAGTAAATGGACTCCAACAAGGTATTAGGAGATCAGGCAGGGCCAAATTTTGCCTGCATGCAAAATATATATTTGGTTTGAGGTTATGTCTTTTCTTTGGTTCAGTGACATGAAATATTCAGGGTGCCCCTGAATATCACTCTCTACAGTCTGAATTGTGCCCTACCTTTGTAAATGTAAAAAAAAAAAATCATAATCTTGTCAAAAAATGATACAAGAACTGAAACATCATTGGAAGATGCAAACACATCTAGTTAAGAACCAGAGACTCGTTTCCTCATGAAATTTTTAGAAACCTAATACAATTATTCTTGTTACTATTAGATCTGTTGTTTATTCAAGACAGAGCATGCACATATGGGTGCATATTTGCTTTGGGTTTCTCAGGGAATCTTGTATAATGTAGAAATAGTTTACTGCTGGGATCAGATTCATGTATGGTATAGAAGGCCGTTGGGGCGCCTGGGTGGCACAGTCGGTTAAGCGTCCGACTTCAGCCAGGTCACGATCTCGCGGTCCGTGAGTTCGAGCCCCGCGTCAGGCTCTGGGCTGATGGCTCGGAGCCTGGAGCCTGTTTCCGATTCTGTGTCTCCCTCTCTCTCTGCCCCTCCCCCGTTCATGCTCTGTCTCTCTCTGTCCCAAAAATAAATAAAAAACGTTGAAAAAAAAATTTAAAAAAAAAAAAAAAAAAGGCCGGAAGGGCCTGATTAAGGTTCGGGAAATGGGGGGTTATAAATCACCTCTGTATGTATTGTACCTACATTCCCACATCAGCTGTTACTGAGGCTGTTGTACACAAAGTCAGTCCTAAGCAGATCACTTTTTTAACAGAACAAACAAGAACCCAATCCACCTCTACTATTACTCTGAGCTTTCACTCCAAGTCAAAAGCTTAGGTCAATGTAGAATGAAAGCCTCTGATTCTTCTCTGTGCCTTTTGTAGTTAAAACTGACTTAGCAGCGGTGGTGTCCCAACAACTTTCAGGACGGTTCCTGCAGCAGGTGTGTGTACCCGTCTTATTCCAGACAAGCAGTCATCAGGTTAGCTCACTGGAGGTTGTATGCCCACATCATTTCATAGATCTGCACATCAGATGTGGTCTCATGAATCTGTGCATCTGGTCGCCTCTTGTCTCTGCATGTCTGATGCCTGCCTGTGTTCCTCTGACACATCTCCATCATTGTGATGATTATTATTTGGGGGGAGGGCACATTCTTACTCTCTGTCACCATAAGATGCTCCAGGCTCATCTTGTATATTTACCGTCTCAGTCCATGAAACTGCTATTTCCCTTTCATTCCAAGGAGCCTTGGTTCATTTTATAGGATTATGTGGATGTATTTCACAATATCTGGATGCAAGGTGTGACAAATAGCATTTTTCACTTAGGACTAAAAATGGTGTGTGTGGGGGGCTCCCTCTTGAAACCTTCTGTTGAGCACTGTCTTTCCAACACTTGTGTTAAGGATGGAGGTTGGTGGTGGGAGGAAAGTATGTACTCACAAGTTTTCAGGTTTTCCCAAAGAGGCACCACTGGTGTTGAGGAAATGCCTTGCCATTTAAAATTTCTCATCACTGTGTATAAATGAAAGAAAAGGAAGGACAGTAACCCTGCGATCTCTACCATCTGCTCCCACCCCTGACCTCTGAGCTTAGCAGGCTCACCAGATATGACAGTGGATGATGAGAGCTGCTTCATGAGACAACTTGGACTTGGAGTCTTTAAACTGAGATGCTAAGGGCAGCCTAGCAGGGTTTTATATACTATTCCTTGTTGTCTGCATTTTGTACTCTACGGGGTGTAGGCTGGGGCTGGTGACTGGATTCAGTCTCCTGATTTGGTGGTTAGTGTTGTGATTCTTTATAGGAATGAGAGGAATAAAGGGTATAATAATATTATGGAAAAGGACTTGATGACTTACCACATGTGGGATAAATGGGGAAGGGAAGAATGAAAAACAGACCTTTTCTGGCTAACTGTGGTTGGTGATACTTGAATAAAAATGTGGACCTTAGGCATTGTTGTAGGGTCTACCAGAAGGTTGGAAATGTATATTTGAAACTCAAAGAGGTCTGTTTGAATGGATTCAGGAGCCATTTTTATGGGCACCATGGTGAATTCTTTTCTTCCAGGGGTCTGACACATGCCTTGAAAATTTTAGTATGTGTGCTGGAAATAGTAATATGTGGATGGATTTTACTTCAAAAGGGATACATGAGTTGAATATGAAGACACTTTAAAGAATAAAACTCAATTTATTCACTCATTTCTTTTTAGAATATATGAGTGTTAAAATCAGGATGTAAATTGCAGCAGCAACAACAAAAAAGATTGGTTCAATGAACTGCCAGCTACAAAGTTATGAGCATGTGCTCTCTGCTCATGTGAGAATTACTGTGATTATAGGAGCTATTAGTAAATTGCATATTTTAAAAAGTATAAATTACTTTTTCTTGATAAATGTGGAAGTTATTTCAGGGTTATATTTATATTTCATTTACAAGTTACTTTTCTTGAGAGATGTAACTCTTATTTTGCAGTTTTATTTTTGTTTCATTGAACAGATAGTAATAGTCAACAGTTTATAACTATAAACTATTAGTGCTTCTGGTAAGTGGCATGAATTAACTGCTGTAATTATATCTATGCTGATTGTTCCTGTCAGTTCAACTCACTGAACTGGAGAGAAAAGCCTTTTCTGTATCATTTGTACAAAATGTTGGAGGATAGTTTCAGTATAAATCTATAAAGGAGACAACTGAGAAGTTAAATTAGAAATTGTTCTTCTTCTAAAGGAGATTTAAAAATA